GCAACTGCAGCAGCTGCAGCAACTGCAGCAGCTGCAGCAGCTGCAGCAGCTGCAGCAAATGTTAGAACATTGCCTCAGCAGAGCCAGCTGGGTGACGGAGCCACCCTCCTCAGGGAGACGCTGCTGCTGCTGCTGCTGCAGCTCCAAGACCCTCTTCACGACGTCCGTGCTGCGGCGCTCGGTGCCCTGTGCGAGGCAGCAGGGGCAGTGCAGCAGCAGCAGCAGCAGCAGCAGCAGCAACAGCAGCAGCAGATGCAGCTGCAGCAGCAAGAGCAGCAGGATAAGGAACTGCAGCAGCAACAATGTCAACCCAACAACTGCTTATCGGTTGCAGGAGGGGATCTGTGGGTGAGGGTGCTGAAGGGCATCAACGACGTGCTGGAGCAGCAGCAGCAGCAGCAGCAGCATCAGCAGAAGCAGCAGCAACAGCAGCAGCAGCAAACCAACGTCTCAGCAGCTGCTGCTGTGGGGCTGCGGGCGATCGGCGCGGTGACACCCCTTGTGCTGTTGCTTTCTGCGGGGGAGGCGGGGGCCCCCCTAGAGTCCAAGGGCGGCGCATGCAGCGCTTGTATAGGGGCCCCCTCAGGGGGGCCCCCTGCTGAGGGGGCCCCCTCAGGGGGGCCCCCTGATGAGGGGGCCCCCCAGGGGGCTGGCGAGAGGAGGGGAGCGGCCCCCAATGCATGCATGCAAAGGCCTATTGATGAGGTGCTGCGCTCGTTGGGGGTGCTGGCTGCGGTGCTGCTGTATACAGGCGCAGAGGAGAAAGAAAGAGCAGCACAGCAGCAGCAGCAGCACACACAGCCATGCATGCAGCAGCAGCGGGATGCTGGGGATAGTAAACGCGAGATCAGCTGCTGCAGCAGCGGAGCAGCTACACAGACCCACGCAGCAAGCGCGCCGCAGCAGTCAGAGCCTGCTGCTGCTGCTACTGCTGCTGCTGCTGCTGCTGCTACTACTACTACCGCTGCTGCTACTGCTGCCCCTGCTGCTGCTGCTGCTGCTGCTGCTGGCGGGGGGCTGAAGCAACTG